TGACAAAGTTGATCATTACAGTTATCATAATGCTGAGTAATTCTATGTTAGTAAACAAATAAGATTACAGAAAAATCAACATCACGAAAAAAAAATCCGATATAATACCTCTATTATAAAATTTAGGGATTTTTTTTTATAATTTTTAAGTGTTATTTTATAATTTTTATGGTAATTTTCAATCAATCTTAAAAATGTTATGATTGATCGATAGTTACCAAAAAAATTGTAATTTGGTCCAAAAAATTATTAAAAAAAACCTCAAAAGTTGTTACTTGACTGTAAAAGTCGTAAATTTTTATCTTGGTTGTAAACAAACCAAAAAACTTGTATAACAATAATAAAAATTATAAAATTTAAAGGTACCGTACCAAAAAAAATAAAAAATCAGTACCATAGTCTTGTCCATAAGATCAAACAAAGAGATCAACTATTTGTAATTAATGATGTATTGTGGCGCTGACGAAGTACTTACCTTTCATTGGATCTGGTTATGGGAGTAAAAATTAGAAGTGGGTGTGAAATAAAAATTTAGAGTAAAAATCAAATATTCAATTCATCAAAATTTAAAATAAGATTCAAACTTTTGGTTCAGAATCTTTCTTACAAAATTATGCTAGCCTAGAAAATTGGTCTTGGATCAAAGCTCATTTGGTTGACACAATGTATAATGTGCCAACGTCCATAGATTAAACGCCCCAAGGGCTACATCGATGTTTATTCAATACTACTTGATTACACGAGACTCAATCCAATTTATATGATGCGAATTGCATAATAAAGATACAATATCACAAGCTTATTATCATCTACACTTATCGTATAGATAGTGNCGAGACTCAATCCAATTTATATGATGCGAATTGCATAATAAAGATACAATATCACAAGCTTATTATCATCTACACTTATCGTATAGATAGTGATAAATCTCTTAGATTCTATCGTCATATTTTNTTTGACATTTGGGTATATTTATTTTGGAAGGAAGCTGGTAGCTTTGTTGATCAATCACTAAACCAACGCGTCCTCTCCACTTTTGTCTGTTCTGACGAAAAACTTAACGGTTGCAGTTTAGTCCATAACCACAAGGGGGTGATGTATTTATTTCTAAATGATAGAGGGATCATCTGCNTCTGTTCTGACGAAAAACTTAACGGTTGCAGTTTAGTCCATAACCACAAGGGGGTGATGTATTTATTTCTAAATGATAGAGGGATCATCTGCTCAAGGCACAAACCATGAGGGGGTAAACTGGAATTTGCCCATTAATATAAGAATTGATTATATACCTGAGTAACTTTTTTTATTGTTTACATGTTTAATATTAGATTCAATCTTTATCATAATCTAACATTATTAGAAAGATAAATCAACATATTAGAGCAACAAAAACTGGAACTAGAATCAAGACCAACAACTTTATTTAACTTGAGCATAACTAGCCTTCGGATAAAACTACTAATACGAAAAATAAATTATCGAAAACAGAAAGCCCAGAAACTGAGAAGTCTGTTACTAAGGGCTTTGTATTGGACATTATATAGAAACTATAATACTTTGAAAATAGGGGGACAATAGTATAATTCCTCTATAGAAAGTGTGTGCATTTGGAAAGTATGTTGAAAAGTATCCTTAATTAGGAAATAAGTTGCAAAGATCAGGGCGGAGCCAGGATTATGTTCTAGTGGGGGTAAAAATATAAACAAAAAAGATTAATCAATTGGTATAAAAAATTCTCCCCCACCTCCAATAATAAGGATTAATAAATTTTGCAGATTTTTTTTTTAAAGTTCAACTATGAGAAATATATTAACATAATTTATATAAAAATAAATCAATTCAACAATTAACAAAATATGAACAAACAAGAACAATAATTTTTTAGTGACAAATTTCAACTCAATCATATATTAAAGAGAAACACAACGATATTGTTTAAAATCTCACAAATCATCTATAACTAATCAATTCTACGATAAATTTCTAAGCAATTTCTTTTTAACCTTGTTCAAAAATTAATATTTTTAGAAAGGTTATGTTGTATTAAATCTCAAGAATGTCTATAATTAATGAATTTTATGATCAATTTGTAAGTAATTTTTAAATCTTGTTGAGAAATTGATGTTTTTGGAAGGGCATAAATGTGCATAACTTATCATTTGCATCTATTCGTATGTGATTATACAATAATATTAAAAAATACAAGAAATTGTATTAAATAAGAGAGATATTGTATTTGACTAATATATATATATATAATGAGTTAAAGAATCACACTTTCTTTTTACTACTTATTTTAATAAAAAAACCACTTGTTTTAGTAGATTAGGAGAACAAGTGAACGGCTAACTTATTGAAGACAAAAGAGACTAAGGCCACTATTTAAATTTTCAAAAATTTTAGGGGGTTAATAAGATAAATTGAACAAAATTTTGTTGTGATGTCAATTTATATAGTTAACCCCTCAAAAGCACACCAATACATGTAGCTCCGCCCCGGCAAAGATGCATGAGAATGGTATTTAACTCCAACAATGTTTCATTACACACACCATCTTCCTACACCACATTTATGTACCATCACTCTGATTAGTGGGTACATAACTCTGATTAGTCGCTAAATTAGTGGGTCTTACAAAATTATGCTAGCCTAGAAAATTGGTCTTGGATCAAAGCTCATTTGGTTGACACAATGTATAATGTGCCAACGTCCATAGATTAAACGCCCCAAGGGCTACATCGATGTTTATTCAATACTACTTGATTACACAAGACTCAATCCAATTTATATGATGCGAATTGCATAATAAAGATACAATATCACAAGCTTATTCTACACTTATCGTATAGATAGTGATAAATCTCTTAGATTCTATCGTCATATTTTATTCCTAACCATGTAGATAATGATAGATCTATTAACTCCTATCATCATATCCTGATACTCCCCCTTGAAAATGCAGTGATTATTCGGATTGTAGCTTACACTGCTCTTTGATACCATGGGAAGCAGTTCGGTCGGCCTTAAACAAGACTTTGTCAGGACTATAACAATGTAGAGACTGACATTATTGTCAAAAATGCAGTTTGATAAAATTGTCGATGATATTGCTATAGTGATGAAGCTCCCCCTAAATAACAAGGTGGGACAAAATAAAGAACTCCTTTTTTTTTTTTTTTTTCATTTCTTCTTCGCAGTTTTGCTGGAACAGGTTCTACCACATTTGTTGTTCCTGATGGTTAAATGGTTGATATAGTCACTGTTGAATTACCCAAAAGGTTGTATCCTATCCGTGGATAGACATAAATCCAGGACCTTTGTTACATACGCATGAGAAATACTGATCTTCTATGCAAAACGGAAGTAGTCCTCTTTGATGACGAAGTGTTGCCAGTTCACGAGAGTAGCATGATCTACTGTTAGAACCCACAATGTGGGATTGCTTCAATTTTCGTCTGCTTCGTAACAGATGAATTGGAAAAACAGAGTGGGCAAATTCGTAGATGTCAATCATCTGTAGATAGTGATAAATCTCTTGGATCCTATCATCCTATCCTAATAAGTGCCATCATCTTGCATGGTGAATCTATGCGGGTATTCAAAAACAGAATCTATGCCAGTGGCAATTCACAGAAAATTAGTATCAAGAAATTTGTCAAGAGAAAACAGGCAGGGTTAATGAGGGTCATATAAAGTTTTCTATTTCGTTAAAGGTAAAGACCAAAATGCAAGGCAGTAAAGATACATTTTTCCAGCCTAAGGTGTTTTATACTCTTTTAGAAAGTGTTCACCCACATTTTGTTCCCATCAGCTTTGAATGGAGCACATGATGTTAATAGTCAAAGGTGGATATAATACAAAAGGTTTTAATTACGGTATCAAAAAAAAAAATTCGATATCACACCACTTATTACTTTTTTGGGTGAAGCTTATGCATACAGCTCTGAGGTTTACTTACCATTTTAAGGGTGAAGCTTGTCAGTTTCGAAGATAAAGATACCGATTTTTTTGATTTTTTTTTCCTCTTTTCAGTACTATATTAAAAAATAAATGGCGGTGCCATAGTGTTTCCCAACATAGAAAGGGATAATCATTCATTAGTGATGCACTGGAGAGTAACATCAAGGCAAGAACAAAATATCTCTCTTGAGTACATTAACCTGATTAGCAGATTGATATTTTCTATCACACAAGGAAATTTCTCTTCCTTTATTACACATCATGTAAAAGTTGCACATGAGTTATCTAGAAGGGTTAAATGTGGTTCAAGTAAACTTCTATAATCACACAACCACATAACTAAAGCCATTATATGGGATTATGGAGCAGAGATGCCACTTACTCGGAAAAATTCTAAAAAAAAAAAACTTGGAAAAATTACAGGAACATGCCACAAAAGGAAGGACAACTAACAGAGCAAACTACCCTTTATCTTTTACAGTCTTTGGTGACAAGTAAACAGCACTAAAAACAATCACGGGCTAATCACGGTAAGCAAGTCAAATCTCTGAAATACAGTTTAGTCTTTTCATGGTAGTATACAAGTAGAAAGCTTCGGTTATGACTTGATCAAATAGAGTCAGAAAACCTTTCTTCTATCTACGTCTATTTGTTAGTTCTGAAGTTGTTCACATCATTGGAAATTGAATTTCTCGAATCTTACAAAACTTTCTATGTTTTGTATCTATTTTTTTCAGAAAACATATTGAATTTCTCGAGTTCCTGTTCTTCAGCTAACTGAACTAACATTGCAACGCATAACCTTGTAATTTTAATTTTTACCCCAATTAGATCAATTGCAAGGCACTAGTTGAAAGGGACATAATGAAGTTTATTTTTTTTTTTTCAGTAATTAGCCATATCTTTTTTTTTACCAACATATATGGTAGCTCACTCTTATCCATTTTGACTGGTCCAGCATAGAGATGAGTTCTAGATGCATTAAGAGCGCTGTTATCAGAAGTTCAACTTGGATTTCATTTCATACTAAATTTCAGGTTAAGTCACAAAAGCAGATTTTATTGCAAGAACTACTGTTCACATAACAACTTTGATAACATGGATACAGTGCAATGGGCAGACATACCATCTGCAATTATCGGCCACATGACTACAGATGGCAAGCTTACATTGGCAAATTTGAAAGGAGAGAGGTTCAAAACAAACCTTAGACATAAGGAAGCAGCAGTTTGAAGTAGATAATGACATACACTGAAAGGGAGAACAAAGCAAACACATGCTGCCAGAAGAGGAGTGCGGATGCTTCGCTAACTGCATAACCTCTCAAGCTAGCGACTGCTCCCAACAATATGGCACTTGGCGCTGTGTATTGCAACAAAAGCACAAACCGATACATTTGATCACCATGGATCAAAAAGTTCAGTCTATCAGCCAAATAAACCACCCCTATTCCAATCAAAGGAAGGATCAGAAGTCTTGCAATGATGATGCCAATTGTAGTTCGAAGCCCAAGTCCAGATTCATTGGGACCCTCAGCAAGCAATCCTCCAAGGATTAGCATTACTGAAGGCACCATTGCTCCAGCCACAATGTCTAAACTACCAGTGATAAATGAAAGTGGTGCGTCATCGCCATAAACAAAACTTTTGAGGAAAGGAACCATTCCAATAATGAGGGCCAACAAGGTAGCAAATGTGGGAGGCTGAAGGATATGAAGGATAGGCGTTTTCTCAGCAACAATCCGTATCCTTCTAACCATCCTGGGCTCTGCCAAGCACCTAATTGATTTGGGACTCCTTGAACCTCCCTCCTCCAGTGAATCAGGCTCTGGGATTGAGGTTTGCGAAATGCTAGAGACACTAGTAAAGACCCTTGCAATAATTGAAGTTTTGCAATGCTCAGTTTCTTTATCTTCCATTCCAGGCCATTCAGCTTCCACAAGAAGTGGCCTACTAAGATTGTCTACAGATAATTGTTCCTGAATCTCAACACCTTCCTCCTGCTCGACCACTTCGTAATAATCTAACGGGGGCTCCATCATGTGATAAACGAGGGTATAAACAAGAAGTACAGCAACCCATTGGGCAAAAGATACATAAGCAATACCAGTCCTTTCGCATTCTGGACCAAACGGATTATCTGCGCTATGGCACACGGACCCAACAATAGCTAGAGGCAGATTGCCGGTGTTACCAAAGGCCGTCACAATTACAGTGAACCTAATGAATTCAGGAGGTGGTCGGCATATTAGTGCGACCAACAACCCCAACACACAACCAATAGCAGTACTGAGGATCACGTTTACAGGTATGAACCACCAATCGATGAAATTCTGTAGAGTAATGGATTCTCCGAGGTGAATGAAGATCGTACAAGGCAAGAAGAGAGCAAAAACAAGCTTGCAAAGAAGCTTAAAAGTGGCTCTTGGGACAATTTGGGTCTTGGGGTGGGCAAGAATCAGACCAATGACAGTGAGAGAGAGGAGTTTCAACAATGGTAGAACAGCACTTAGAAGATTTTCCTTTCCAGAATTCACACTTCCTATACTCATGGCAGAGAGGAATTCCATGATCAAATAGGAAACCACAAGACACTTGTAGGAATTTGACAAACCAATTCTAAGCCCAAGAAATTGAAATCTTAGTTCAAGCTTTACACTTTAGAACATGGGTTTTTTTACAGAAATTCACATATTACAGAACTAAAGCAACAAAATCAAATTATGAATACCTTATTAGACATGCAGCAGGGGAACTAATTCGATCCAAAAATGGAAAAAGTGTTAATCTTTCACCAAATCACTCTTAAAACACGCGGCCTGGCCTGGTAATTGGTGTTCTTTCATGAAAGTAGTTAGACACCCACAACCCAACGTCTTGGAAACCAAGAAATACCAAGAACTAGAAACGAAACTCATTCAACAACCCACAATTTACAAACTACAACATCATTTTTTGACAGGATTCATACATATAGTACACACTACATAGCAACATAATTGAAAGGGAACTTTCTTACCTAAATTTCTTAAATAAGAGCTCTATTTAATGATCCACAAGAGAGAGAGAGTGTGTTACGGACCTGAGAAACTCTTGGAAAGTTTAGAGGGAGAGAGGAGATTAGAGAGGGAGATGCTGTTTGATTGAGAGATATTTTATTATTAAGCCAATAATGGTTGAAATAATTGCTTTTGCCAAAAGATTATAAACTAGAGGGTTGTTGAAGTTATAATAAATTGTTTTTAGTGTTAATTGTTTTTGGAAAATGATTACATCACAAGAAGGTGTAGCACATTTTGACGCCTGAGAATCAGAGGCCAGAGTTTTGGGTTGGCAGGCTTTCGTGGAAGGTTACTGTTGGGCTGTCATTTATGAAGTTGACAGTTATACATAACAATCTCTCATGCTAACGTGGACACACATGCTTCTGGACAAAAAAAAGTTGTTGGACAGGGAGAGCCTCTGGTACCAATGTCAGTACTAAAAAAAAAATGTGTGATTTATCTATATAATAAAATAATTTATAATTTAAATTTAAAAAAATAAATAAAATAATTTTTATTATTAGTGATTGAGATCATTTTAAATTTTACTTTAAAATTAATCTAACAGCTAATATTAACACTTTAAATTTAATAGGAAAAATAGATTATTAAGGATGTGTTTGTAGTGACTTTTTAAAAGTACTTTTAAAAATTATTTTTCATAAATACTTTTAAAAAAAAATATTTTAAATTGCACCATCACTACCTTTACCATCACTACTACTACCACCGCCGCCGCCGCCGCCACCAACGTCATCCCCACCACCACTGTCGCCACCGCAGTCGCAGCCGCCGCCACCACCACCACCACTATCGCCGCCACCATGGTCATTGTCACCCATCGCAACCACACCGTTTCCTTCCACCACTACTGTCGCCCACCACCTCTCACCCCTACTACAAACCGATATTTAAATTATTTTATCTCTTCTTTATGTTTGTGATTTGATTTTGAATATGAATGCAAATATGTTTATAGTTTACCATTTTTTATTATTCTGTACATTCAGGTACATGCAATAACTAGTTATTAAATATTACTCACTAAATATGATACTTTTACTTATAAAAGTTGTACTTTTTTTTTAAAGATTATAATTTTATCTATAATGATGATAATTTTATCTCTAAATATGATAATATTACCTTAAAGAATTGTAAACTCACCTCAAGAAATGGTATTTTTATGTTTATTGCTTGTAACATAATCTTTAATAGTTATAATTTCACACCCAAATGTATTAATTTTATCATAAATGGATACAACCTCATATCAAAAACTTGTAATCTAACCTCTAAAGTTGGTAATTTTGTCTATACAAAACGTAATTTAGACTCAAATGATTATAACCTCACTTTCAAAGATAGTAATTTTACTTTCAATTATTGTAATCTTACTTAAAGAGTTTATACCTCACCTTTAAAGGTGATAATTTTACTTTTACATGTTATAATTTAATCTCAAATATTTATACATTCACCTTCAAAGATAGTAGTTTTACATTAAAAGATTGTAACATTCCTTCCAGAAGTTATAGCCTCACCTCTAAAAGTGGTATCTTTATTTCTACAGGCTATATCTTAACTATAAATTATCGTAATCTTACCTTTAAAGATAGTAACTTTACCTTAAAGTATGATAATTTTATCTCAACAATTATAACTTTGTCTTTGCAAATAGTAACATTATCTTTAAGCTGTAACTTCATTTCAGTAGTCATGATAGATCATGATTATCTAGGATCGATCCAAATGCCTCCAATGGATCCAAATTATTATTATTTACGATTTCACTAAATTAGGATCGATCATTACTATATGAAATTGATCTTAATGCATTTGATGGTCCAAACATTCTTTAAAACTAAATTTTTGATGGTTCTAATTATATAGGATCGATCATGACTAGCCAAATTTTTTTTTTTTTTCTAAACTAGTCTTAATCCTATATTTAGTTACATCTAAATTGACATGTAATTTTATAAAATTAATTTTTAAGTTTATCCAATTAACATTCAAATCATCAAAAATAATATTAAATTGACCTTCAATTGAATTAAATTAATATTCAAAATTATAAATTTAAAATTCATCAAATTGACATTCAACATTTTTTTTGTTCGAAATATAAATTAATGAAATTAAATATTACCAAAAAAAAATTAAAGATTTAATTAATGTTGATAATGATGAGATTTTGGGTTGGGCTGCCCATCATAAACTCAAAACATCTAATAGGCCCAACGATTGCATATCGGCCCAAGAGACCCCTCCATAACACATATGCTCCGCAATAAGAAATGTGTCATAATCCAAAAGAGGAAACTCAACAAAGAGTCTAGGTTGGCACAATCCTGCTTGGTCATAAATAGCTCAATAGTAAATAAGCTAGGAGCAAAGAGCTCGGTATTCATCAGACCCCGAATACCCCACATCACTCCACGTGTTTAGGGACCAGGGGATAGATGGTAAAGGGAATATCTGTGCACATTTCATTGAAGGACAGCGAAAATGACTTATGTTAGGATAACGGTCGCCACTACAAGACAAAAAGTAGGAGACCACAAAATCAGCCAAAAGAAGAAAAATATCGTATAAAACGTTAGATAACTACTTGTATAAACNTAAAAGTACTTTTAAAAATTATTTTTCATAAATACTTTTAAAAAAAAATATTTTAAATTGCACCATCACTACCTTTACCATCACTACTACTACCACCGCCGCCGCCGCCGCCACCAACGTCATCCCCACCACCACTGTCGCCACCGCAGTCGCAGCCGCCGCCACCACCACCACCACTATCGCCGCCACCATGGTCATTGTCACCCATCGCAACCACACCGTTTCCTTCCACCACTACTGTCGNCACCACCACTATCGCCGCCACCATGGTCATTGCCACCCATCGCAACCAACACCGTTTCCTTCCACCACTACTGTCACCCACCACCTCTCACCCCTACTACAAACCGATATTTAAATTATTTTATCTCTTCTTTATGTTTGTGATTTGATTTTGAATATGAATGCAAATATGTTTATAGTTTACCATTTTTTATTATTCTGTACATTCAGGTACATGCAATAACTAGTTATTAAATATTACTCACTAAATATGATACTTTTACTTATAAAAGTTGTACTTTTTTTTTAAAGATTATAATTTTATCTATAATGATGATAATTTTATCTCTAAATATGATAATATTACCTTAAAGAATTGTAAACTCACCTCAAGAAATGGTATTTTTATGTTTATTGCTTGTAACATAATCTTTAATAGTTATAATTTCACACCCAAATGTATTAATTTTATCATAAATGGATACAACCTCATATCAAAAACTTGTAATCTAACCTCTAAAGTTGGTAATTTTGTCTATACAAAACGTAATTTAGACTCAAATGATTATAACCTCACTTTCAAAGATAGTAATTTTACTTTCAATTATTGTAATCTTACTCAAAGAGTTTATACCTCACCTTTAAATGTGATAATTTTACTTTTACATGTTATAATTTAATCTCAAATAGTTATACATTCACCTTCAAAGATAGTAGCTTTACATTAAAAGATTGTAACCTTCCTTCCAGAAGTTATAGCCTCACCTCTAAAAGTGATATCTTTATTTCTACAGGCTATGTCTTAACTATAAATTATTGTAATCTTACCTTTAAAGATAGTAACTTTACCTTAATGTATGATAATTTTATCTCAACAATTATAACTTTGTCTTTGCAAATAGTAACATTACCTTTAAGCTGTAACTTCATTTCAGTAGTCATGATAGATCATGATTATCTAGGATCGATCCAAATGCCTCCAATGGATCCAAATTATTATTATTTACGATTTCACTAAATTAGGATCGATCATTACTATATGAAATTGATCTTAATGCATTTGATGGTCCAAACATTCTTTAAAACTAAATTTTTGATGGTTCTAATTATATAGGATCGATCATGACTAGCCAAATTTTTTTTTTTTTTCTAAACTAGTCTTAATCCTATATTTAGTTACATCTAAATTGACATGTAATTTTATAAAATTAATTTTTAAGTTTATCCAATTAACATTCAAATCATCAAAAATAATATTAAATTGACCTTCAATTGAATTAAATTAATATTCAAAATTATAAATTTAAAATTCATCAAATTGACATTCAACATTTTTTTTGTTCGAAATATAAATTAATGAAATTAAATATTACCAAAAAAAAATTAAAGATTTAATTAATGTTGATAATGATGAGATTTTGGGTTGGGCTGCCCATCATAAACTCAAAACATCTAATAGGCCCAACGATTGCATATCGGCCCCAAGAGACGCCTCCATAACACATATGCTCCGCAATAAGAAATGTGTCATAATCCAAAAGAGGAAGCTCAACAAAGAGTCTAGGTTGGCACAATCCTGCTTAGTCATAAATAGCTCAATAGTAAATAAGGTAGGAGCAAAGAGCTCGGTATTCATCAGACCCCGAATACCCCACATCACTCCACGTGTTTAGGGACCAGGGGATAGAAGGTAAAGGGAATATCTGTGCACATTTCATTGAAGGACAGTGAATATGACTTATGTTAGGATAACGGTCGCCACTACAAGACAAAAAGTAGGAGACCACAGAATCAGCCAAAAGAAGAAAAAGATCGTATAAAACGTTAGATAACTACTTGTATAAATNTATTACCTTAAAGAATTGTAAACTCACCTCAAGAAATGGTATTTTTATGTTTATTGCTTGTAACATAATCTTTAATAGTTATAATTTCACACCCAAATGTATTAATTTTATCATAAATGGATACAACCTCATATCAAAAACTTGTAATCTAACCTCTAAAGTTGGTAATTTTGTCTATACAAAACGTAATTTAGACTCAAATGATTATAACCTCACTTTCAAAGATAGTAATTTTACTTTCAATTATTGTAATCTTACTTAAAGAGTTTATACCTCACCTTTAAAGGTGATAATTTTACTTTTACATGTTATAATTTAATCTCAAATATTTATACATTCACCTTCAAAGATAGTAGTTTTACATTAAAAGATTGTAACATTCCTTCCAGAAGTTATAGCCTCACCTCTAAAAGTGGTATCTTTATTTCTACAGGCTATATCTTAACTATAAATTATCGTAATCTTACCTTTAAAGATAGTAACTTTACCTTAAAGTATGATAATTTTATCTCAACAATTATAACTTTGTCTTTGCAAATAGTAACATTATCTTTAAGCTGTAACTTCATTTCAGTAGTCATGATAGATCATGATTATCTAGGATCGATCCAAATGCCTCCNCGATACAATTAAGAGAGAAAATATTCAGTACTTGGCAGGTACCTGACTGTCATTGACAGTTGGTACTCATCACCAATCAACAGATATCATCTCATATTCTGTCATTAGTAGGGTAAGCTGTCATTGACAGCTGATACTCATCACCAATCAAGAGATGTCACTTCAATGTAGGCTCTCTTTCAATTTTTCTCTCTCCACTGCTTATCTTGAAGTGACATCTCTTGATTGGTGATGAGTACCAATTGTCAATGACAGCCTGGTACTTGTCAAGTACTAAATATTTTCTCCAATTAAGAGTTATTTAACAAGCATTAATTGATGAAATTCTTTTTGAATCATAAATGTGAAATATTTAAATTTTGAGGGATTCAATTTATAATTAACTCAATTTTTTTTAACAGTAAAATAGATAGGAGTTAGTCTCAGATACACATTAATACATAGATTTTTTAGGGTATAAATTAATATTTTTAAATTTTGAAGGTATAAATTAAAATTCAAATGGTGTAAATTGTGATTAATCCTATGATAAATTTTAGAAGTGTGATACTTAAATTTTTTTTTGGCGTCAAGTCTATATTGATTTAGCAAAAGCAATTGAACCAACCATTATTGACTTAATAAAATATCTCACTTTTCCTCTGCGAATCTCCCAGCATCTTTCTCCCTCTCTTGTGGGTCTTTATATTTAGTTCTTATTCAAGAAATTTAGGTAAGAAAGTTTCCTTTCAGTTATGTTGCTATGTTGTGTGTATTATATGCATGAATCCTGTAAAAAATGTTGTAGAAACTTGTAAATTTTGGGTTGTTGAATGATTTTCTTTCTAGTTCTGGGTAATTCTTGGTTTCCAACAACTTTGTTACGCGTGTATTTAACTACTCTGTCATGAAAGAAAACCAATTACCGTGCCGTATGTTTTAAGAGCGATTTGGTGAAAGACNATTTAGTTCTTATTCAAGAAATTTAGGTAAGAAAGTTTCCTTTCAGTTATGTTGCTAGGTTGTGTGTATTATATGCATGAATCCTGTAAAAAATGTTGTAGAAACTTGAAAATTTTGGGTTGTTGAATGATTTTCTTTCTAGTTCTGGGTAATTCTTGGTTTCCAACAACTTTGTTACGCGTGTATCTAACTACTCTGTCATGAAAGAAAACCAATTACCGTGCCGTATGTTTTAAGAGCGATTTGGTGAAAGACTAACACTATTCCATTTTTACATCGAATTAGTTCCCCTCCATAAGTTATTCCAAATTTGATTTTGTTGCTTTAGTTCTGTAGTATGTGAATTTCTGTAAAAAAAAACCATGTTCTAAAGTGTAAAGCTTGAACTAAGATTTCAATTTCTTGGGCTTAGAATTGGTTTGTCAAATTCCTACAAGTATCTTGTGGTTTCCTACTTGATCATGGAATTCCTCTCTGCCATAAGTATTGGAAGTGTGAATTCTGGAAAGGAAAATCTTCTAAGTGCTGTTCTACCATTGTTGAAACTCCTATCTCTCACTCTCATTGGTCTGATTCTTGCCCACCCCAAAACCCAAATTGTCCCGAGAGCCACTTTTAAGCTTCTTAGCAAGCTTGTTTTGGCTCTGTTCTTGCCTTGTACGATCTTCATTCACCTCGGTGAATCCATTGCTCTACAAAATTTCATCGATTGGTGGTTCATACCTGTATACGTGATCCTCAGTACTGCTATTGGTTGTGTGTTGGGGTTGTTGGTCGTGAGAATATGCCGACGAACACCTCCTGAATTCAACAGATTCACTGTAATTGTGACGGCCTTTAGTAACACTGGCAATCTGCCCCAAGCTATTGTTGGGTCCGTGTGTCATAGCGCAGATAATCCTTTTGGTCCAGAATGCCATAGGACTGGTATTGCTTATGTTTCTTTTGCTCATGGGTTGCTGTACTTCTTTTTTATACTCTTGTTTATCACATGATGGAGCCCCCGTTAGAGTATTACGAGGTGGTTGAGCAGGAGGAAGGAGTTGAGATTCAGGAACAATTATCAGTCGACAATCTCAGTAGGCCACTTCTTGTGGAAGCTGAATGGCCTGGAATGGAAGATAAAGAAACTGAGCATTGCAAGACACCAATTATTGCAAGGGTCTTTACTAGTGTCTCTAGCATTTCACAAAGTTCTATCCCCAACCCGATTCACTGGAAGAGGGAGGTCCAAGGAGTCCCAAATCTATTAGGTGCTTGGCAGAGTTCAGGATGGTTAGAAGGATACGAATTGTTGCTGAGAAAACACCTATCCTTCATATCCTTCAGCCTCCCACATTTGCTACCCTGTTGGCCTTCATTATTGGAATGGTTCCTTTCCTCAAAAGCGTTGTTTATGGTGATGATGCACCACTTTCATTTATCACCGGTAGTTTAGACATTGTGGCTGGAGCAATGGTGCCTTCAGTAATGTTAATTCTTGGAGGAATGCTTGCTGAGGGTCCCAATGAATCTAGACTCGGGCTTCGGACTACAATTGGCATCATTATTGCAAGACTTCTGATACTTCCTTTGATTGGAATGGGGGTGGTTTGTTTGGCTGATAGACTGAACTTTTTGATCCATGGGGATCAAATGTATCGGTTCGTGCTTTTGTTGCAATACACAACACCAAGCGCCATATTGTTGGGAGCAGCTGCTAGCTTGAGAGGTTATGCAGTTAGAGAAGCATCAGCACTCCTCTTCTGGCAGCATGTGTTTGCTGTGTTCTCCCTTTCAGTGTATATCATTATCTACTTCAAACTGCTGCTTTCTTAGTTTGTTTTAAACCTTTCTGCTTTTAAATTTGCCAATGTAAGCTTCCCATCCGATAGTCATTTGACTGATGATTTCAGATGATATGCCTCCTGACTCCTGTTGCACTGCATCATTGTTGACATAGTTGATATGTGAACTGTGTGGTTCAATGATTGTGATTAAGCAGCTTCAAGAAATCTTTTGCTCACATATAATTAGTTCTCAATTTTAAGGCCAATACAATAAGAAAAACAATATATGATAAAATATGCTTTTGTAACTTAACCTGAAATTGAGAGAATTCTGGTAATGAGGTCAGTTCAATTTGCTTAAAATTATAGAGAGAGAATGTCAGTTCTGTTGGAATGTTTTCTGAAAACATCGATAAAAAGACCGAGAAAGTTTGGACGATTCGATAAAAAGCCAACTTCCAACAATGTGAGCAATTTCAGACCTAACAAGTTGAAGTAGGATCTACATGATATCTTTGTTTTCTTGCCTTTTTTTTCTCTCGTTTATTGAAAGAACGAAAAAGAAAACTTTACATGACCCTCATTAACCTTGCCTGTTTACTTCAATAAAATGACGATATCTCTCAAAAGTAACTCTCATATGAATTTTATAAATGGAATTTTCATCTCCATCTCTGTTTTTAANTCTCTCAAAAGTAACTCTCATATGAATTTTATAAATGGAATTTTCATCTCCATCTCTCTGTTTTTATTTAGTATTGTTGGGAATCTTATAACATATTATGGAAGTATAGGATCAAAGACATACCTTGTTCGCTTTAATCTTAAAGATCGTTTGAGGATGTTCCACATACTTTAGAATTTAAAAATTGTCTTTCATTCGATTGCTCGAGCAATATAATGTTGTTACAATAGGAATCAACACCAAGTTTCCACAGCACAAAAACCTTTCAACGTTATGTAGGGAGNACATACCTTGTTCGCTTTAATCTTAAAGATCGTTTGAGGATGTTCCACATACTTTAGAATTTAAAAATTGTCTTTCATTCGATTGCTCGAGCAATATAATGTTGTTACAATAAGAATCAACACCAAGTTTCCACAGCACAAAAACCTTTCAACGTTATGTAGAGAAAGAGAGAAATAAAGTAGAAGACGTTAACGTTTTTATTATTTTTCAGAAATATCTCATCTATTGGTTGCCTTGAGTTTATATAGACAACCAATAAGTGTAATTAAGAGACACATAATATAGGAACATATCTATTAATATTTAACAGTCATGTATTTTGGGTGAATGATACCTTTTGATAAAAGATATCTCCAAAAGACATGTCTATTTGAGCATTCTTTAATTTGGGTCAACNCCAATAAGTGTAATTAAGAGACACATAATATAGGAACATATCTATTAATATTTAACAATCATGTATTTTGGGTGAATGATACCTTTTGATAAAAGATATCTCCAAAAGACATGCCTATTTGAGCATTCTTTAATTTGGGTCAATCCACTATGGGCGCCCTGGTTCGAGTCCATGACTCAACCAATATCTACCATCTCCCACTCGCACGTGGTGGATACGATACTGTTATCTCTCTCAATCCATTATATACATCAACATCAATTCATACAAACTAATGGGTCATGCGACTGCTGAGCACACCTGCAATTTGGGAGCTCTACACTAGAAGCTCTACAGAGCCAGCATAGAAACATCAACCCTTAAAAAAAATGAAAATGGTGTCTAAAGTATTTTAGACCCATTCGGATATACCAGTTCAAGCATCTCTAATCCCTCATAATATAAGAGTATGCATAATCCCTTGAAGCTTTCGCCTATATATTCACACTTTGTCACTATCTAAACTAGCGTCCAAAGTAGTTGCCATTGAATATATTGTGAGATGTTCCAAATGATCTTCCTTTAGTTCTCATGTCACTTAGTTCAAAATTAACAGCTTACCCAGTAATGTCCCGAAAGGCCGAATCACTCATGGTCGTAAGTAACATGCCAAAGTAGTTGAGCATTAATTTTTTTCACTTTATGACATAGTGAAAAGTCAGAGAGTACATAAAATGTTTAGTTAAATAAAATAACCTGGTCATGTAAAAATGACTCAAAGGGCTCACACAGTGAGGAAGCAGTGATCCATTCCTTCACCTCCTTAATTGTCACCAAGCACATATAGTATGAAATATATGCTATGGTGGAGTGTTTCGATCCTAATGAGAGCGTATATCATACTTAGACACCGTACAAATCTTAGTATATTCGCTCTATAAGCGTCTAACCCAAGTTCTCTATTTGCTCGCCCTCCAAAAACGCTATATTAAGATCTCGCATCTAGCTAATCAACAAACACAAGCATAATGGATATGGAGTTGTGTCCATTATTGATTCTCAAATGTCAGATCTAATTCTATGTACAAAACAGAGCGATACTATATACTAGAGTATCTCATCTTTGCTCGCCATATGAAGCGCTCGTGTGAGTAAGCCAATCACGCCCGATGACATATTTAATTAAAACCATGTATTAATATCCCAAAAAAAATGTTAATACAAATGACTATGTGATCCATACAATCTCTAGCACATTATCAATTCTTACGAAGTCCTAGAGTTTTAACATGAGTCATATACACATCTCTAGCTATAGGCTTAGTTAGGGGGTCTGAAACCATTGGAGTTGTACGTATGTGTTTTAAGATTACTTTTTTTTATGCAATCATGTCTCTGATGTAATGATATCTTAGATCTATGTGTTTGGTTCTTCAATGATACTTAGGATCCTTAGCATAAGCTAATGCAGCCATGCTATCACAATGAATCGTCTTTGGGCCCAAGGTATGTGTGACAACTCCTAAATGTTGAAAGAACCTTCTGAACCAAACAGCTTCTTATACAGCAACAAAACAAGCCACGTATTATGCTTTCATGGTGGATAAAGATATGCATTATTGTTTTTTACTACTCCATGTAATGACCCCACTATTAAGTAAGAAAGCATATCCTAATGTGGACTATATCATCACCTCAATCAGCATCACTATAACCAAACATCTGTAAATCTGAAGACTGGTATGGTAGCATAATATATAATCTGAAGTCCCCTTAAGATTTCGTAGTATCCTTTTGACTGCCTTCCAATGAGCTATTCCAGGATTTGACTAAAAACGACTAACTAGGCCTACCACATATAGCAAATATCAGGACGGGTACACATCATAGTGTACATTAAGCTAACTACAACATTGGCATAGGGAACACAAGCTATCATTTCCTTTTCCTCAGGAGATTTAGAGCACATCTTTAGGCTTAGGCTATGGTCTTTCGCTATAGGAGTGTCTATGGGTTTGCAGTTCTGCATCTGGAATCGTTTAAGTACCTTCTTAATGTAAGTCTCTTGAGATAAACCAAGAAGTTTCTTAGAACGATCCCTTAAAATCTTAACTCCGAGCACATAACTTGCTTCACCCAAGTCCTTCATCTCAAATGTTGAGGACAACCACTTTTGAGTAGTGATAATCATCTCCTTATTATTTCTAGCTAATAAAATATCGTCAACATACAAAGATAGAATCAAGAAGCTATGACCGTTTAACATACACACAATAGTCTTCATCGATCATTGTAAACTCATTAGAAGTGATAGTTCGATGAAACCTTAGATACCACTGTTTGGATGACTGCTTTAGGCCATAAAAGGATTGTTGGAGTTTACAAAATTTGTTCTCCTAACCCATCACCATGAAGCTCTCAGGTTGATCCATGTAGATCTCCTCATCCAATTCTCCATTAAGAAATTCAGTTTTAATGTCCATTTGATATAGTTTTAAATCCAAATGTGCGACAATAGCTAGAATCATGCGAATCGAGGCAAACCTTACAACTGGAGAAAAAGTTTCCTTGTAGTCCACACCCTCTCTTTGGGTGTAACCTTTTTGCCATTAGGCGAGCCTTATATCTTTCTATGGATCCATCTGCCTTGCATTTAATTTTGAGAATCCATTTGTTCCCAATAGCCTTGCACCCAGGCAGACGGTCAACCAAGTCCCAGACTTGATTAGCCTTTATTGACTCCATCTTGTTATTCATTGCAGTTATCCACTCATTACTAGCAGGTGATGATAGAGCCTTTTTAATATTTTTAGGTTCGGCATCATCATGTAGTGCAACCATGAAAGTTTCCCCTTCAATCTCAAAACAACGTCGTGGAATAGTTCCACGCCTATTTCTACGTAACTCTGTGTCGTATGGATCTACAACCATTGGAACTGATCCACCATTGAGTATATCGCTCCCATTGTCCCTAGGAGGTGACGAAACTATTTTTTCAACCTCTACTTGGTTAGTGGGTATATCTATTTGGGGATCATCTAACTCATAGAGTTCTATTCCTTTAGACACATCTCCTCTGATAGGAAAATTCTCTTCAAGGAAAATTGCATCCCATGACACAATTTCAGTTACCCTTCCATCAAGGTGTTCATATATAAACACATAGCCCTTAGAGTGCTTAGAATAGCGGATGAAGATACACTTCTTCACTCTAAGACCTGACTTCCCATATTTATGAGAAGTATTGTGTACATAAGTCGTTGAACCCCATGGTTGTATGCTTGCATGGTATAGCGCACAAGTCGATCCTTATTCTATNCGTCGTGGAATAGTTCCACGCCTATTTCTACGTAACTCTGTGTCGTATGGATCTACAACCATTGGAACTGATCCACCATTGAGTATATCGCTCCCATTGTCCCTAGGAGGTGACGAAACTATTTTTTCAACCTCTACTTGGTTAGTGGGTATATCTATTTGGGGATCATCTAACTCATAGAGTTCTATTCCTTTAGACACATCTCCTCTGATAGGAAAATTCTCTTCAAGGAAAATTGCATCCCATGACACAATTTCAGTTACCCTTCCATCAAGGTGTTCATATATAAACACATAGCCCTTAGAGTGCTTAGAATAGCGGATGAAGATACACTTCTTCACTCTAAGACCTGACTTCCCATATTTATGAGAAGTATTGTGTACA